AAAAAACAATAAGCGTGATCAAACAATTTAAGTGATAACAGTCAGTCGATCGTATATGGTCGACATTTAAGTAGTACAAGTGAATCGTTCCTATGAGATCAGACATTTAAAGCTCATTGAAATTATTTCAACATTCTCGACTTTATAATGATTTAAAAAGACAGCAATTAATTCAACTTCTAATTCTTGACCGATTTTTACGAAAAAGATCTCATTTTAATAAAAAAAAAAAAAAAAAGATTTAAACGTGTCTATGACTTTTTCGAATTTTCGAATTTTCGGAGAAGCTTTACTTTTTTTGGGGGGAAAAATGTCCTGCCAGTATTGTCTTTCTTTTTTTCGAGAATAGTTCATGTAAAAAAATAAAAATTTTCAATGTAATGTAATATAATAATAATAATAATAATAACGATAAGAAGAAAATACATAACAATATAATACTTAAAAATAGTGTGTGTATGTGTGTATTTTTATTATAATATATAGATTTGTATCAACATTTGTTTAATGATACTAGTTTTTGATAAAAACATAAAACTTTCGATCTTCTAATCACCCAGACAATTTTGATCAAATCGTTATCTAAGATTTACACTAACCGATTTGAGATAATATCGAAAATTCTATTTAAAAAAAAAAAATTCATCTTTACGAAAAAAATACAGTCCAAAATTGATGTCACGTTTCCATGAAATTTTATTTTTATTTTATATTTCTAATCACAATTATATATATATATTTTTTTCTTTTCTTTTCAAAGATACCCTAACATAATTTCGAAAAAATCTGTTTAAAAATATAGATTCGTGTTTATGAGAATACGAGAAAATTTTTTATCAATTATTTAACATCTCACTCTCAATCTCTCTCTCTCTCTTTCTCTCTCTTTCCTTTTTCTCTTTTTTCCATTCGTTTTTCATACTTAGAGATAAGAAAAAAAGAAAATGAAAATGAAAATGAAAATGAAAAGGAGAATATTAATCTGACCGTGCGAAAGTAAAATAGTCGAGGCGTGCTACTATCAGGTATGTACGTATGCGGTTAGTAAGTAAGTAGTCGTTGTACATAAAATGTAGTAGTACAACAGCGGGAGACAAGAAGATTAATGTTATGAAATGAGCAAATTAGCATTATGCAAACTTGCATGTATCACCCGTCTGGGAAATAATTTAGAAGATGCACGAGGTGAAAGCGTTGCCAGGACATCGGAGAGCTTGGATCAATCTTGCCCAGTATATATCATTCGTGAGATTAGGTCGATGATCGAATCGGATCCTCGATCGAAATCTTTCATAGTGATTTATCTCTCAATTTTTTTTTTCCTTTAATTTTCATTTTTTATGAAAGTTAAAATGAGAGAAAGAGAGAAAGAGAGAGACGTTCTTATTTATCAATAATTAAATGATAAACATTATCTATTTTTTCGTTGTTAATTTTATGGTGAATTGTTTCTACAAAATGTAACCTGACGATAAGCTGAATCCCATATACCTATATAAATGTATGTATTGTATATAGTAGCACATATATTATTTCTCTAATACTAAATATACTAATTTTTATTAGTAATATATATAAATAGTATGCATAATATATATATATGTTAAATATTTTACATATATATTATAGTATTATTTATTGATATTATTTATATAATATATATATTACTAATAATAATTAACAAAATTTAGCATTAATGTACTACATAATTTTAATATAACGATTACTATAATATTAATAATTATTGGCAAGTATAAAATAAATTGAAGTACTATTAAATTAGTGGGGCTACTTAATAATTAAAAAAAAATCTAATTTAATAAAAAATAAAAATAAAATAAGTCTCCAAAAGCGGTAACCTCTACGTGGTGAGATCTGGATCGATATTACTTGCAATATATTGAGATCTAATGTGATGTAAGTACTATCGGACGAATGGTTGCATATTTCAGTGTGTTTCTAAAATCGATTTTTCCTATTTCTAATTAAAATTTACATTTTTATGATTGAACATACTTCAATAGATAAATATTATCAGAAATAGTAGGATTCTAAAATAATTTATTAGAGAAACCCATTGAAAAATTTTCATTATCTGCGTTATTCTTATTCGTTCTTATTTATTCACATTTATCCTAACTTATTTTTATTGATTTTCATTTATTCTTTTTTCTTCTTATTCTTATTTATGCTTTTCAGGTTAAATATCGAGTCAAATAATATCGGAACCAATGGTTGTTTAAATATGCTTTAGCTATTCGTATAAATTTAATTGAATATAAAATTGTACGATTAACAAACGCTTTTCAATTAATCCATCTTTGAGAAGAAGAAATTTTGATCTTTTCTCTTTCTCTCTTGTTAGATATACTAATATTTTTTTTTATACAAAAATTTTTGCCCAACATGCATTGAAACTTAATTGTTAGGTTATAAGTGTTAACCTAAACAAAAGCTTATTAACCGATACAACAATTTCATAAGGATGAAAGTGTTATTTCTCTATTGCCCTCGTAGTTCATATTTCGTTTGTATGTGTCGCTGAAGTCGCAAATATAGTTATTAGGAGGAAAAAATGATGAACAGATTTATGAAAAAAATCGTATAATTTCTATTAAATATATTTACGTATACAAGTTTCTAAAAGTAATGATCATGAGAATGGATTTTTTTTTTTTTTTTTTAACAGATAGAAACTAAGTCACAAGGAATTGATTTCTAATCAGAACTGTCGTTGCGTTCCGTCGTCTTTCGAGGTAGATCTGAAATCCGATCTTTTAGAGAGGCTCGTTACCAATCGGAACGGGCTTGACGGTTACACGGCATTTCACTTAGAGAAACAAATATCTATCTGTGCGAATGTTGGATCGAAGCGCAAATGCAAGGAAGATAGAAAGGAAAGAAGGAAGAAAGAAAGGAAGGAAGGAAGGAAGGAAGGAAGGAAGGAAGGAAGGAAGGAATGAAGGAAGAATCAGAATCAGGTTCAGTGGCCTCGATAGAAGGACGGCCTTCTTGCATCTTCAACGTGTTCTTCTCAGTGAAAAGTTAGTCCAAGGTCATAACGAGAAGAACGGAGAAAAAAAAAGAGAGAGAGAGAGAAGAGCGATGATGGTTCCTCGATCCTCGTATGAATCGACCTCCTCACGGAAGGCAAACCTCAGTGTTCGCAAATATTGAATCTTTGCGATCGGTCCGAGATGGTACTTTGTGAAGAGGCACACACAAATTGCCGAGTCAGAAAATAGAGAGAGAGAGAGAGAGAGAGAGAGAGAAAAGGAACTTTGCAATGAGAAAAGAGGCACTCGAATGTTATGTGCATGATGGAGAGTCTTCTGAATGATTTTGGATATTTCTTTTTATCTACATCTCTCTCTCTCTCTCTCTCTCTCTCTCTCTTTCGTTCTGTCTCTGTTTCTATGCGCGTACTCGTGTGTGTGTTTGTCAGGAATTCGAGGTCAAGTTATATTTTTCATGATTTTAGTGAATACTTTAATCCCAAGGTAATCGTATTTTTCTACCTTTTTGTCTCTTTTTTTTTCTTTTTTTCTTTCTTTTTTTTTCTTTTTTTAATATCTTAATTGAATCCATTTGTAAGTTTATATTTGTGATAAAATTCTTATCGTAATCGTTGCCTTAATAAAGTTAAAGTGATTATTTTTCAATATCGAACATCTTGGCATTTCTTATAACTTTACATTGTGAAATATTTCTTTTCTTTCTTCAAATTATTCTTTAATACTTTTTCTCTTCCTTTTTCTTTTTTTCTTTTTTATTGTTTATAAAAAATCGATATGAAGACTTTTATCATAGTTAAAGTTGAAGATGAAATAGGTGATACTTATTAAAAAGTATCAAATTGGATTTCATAATTTTCTTTGTCTTTCTTCTTCTCCTTTTTTTTCCTTTTTTTTTTTCATTCATCGTTGGTATATTCTTGAATCCTTGTGTTATATGTGTCACATATGCATGCACACACACACACACACATATATATATATATATATATGCATATCTATCTCGAACCGGTCGTCACATCGAAAGGATCATTAATGGAATGACTCGCGTCATTTTGAATTTTTCTTTCGGTCCTACGCGAAAAGTAAATTCGTTGGCGCCACAAAGGTGAAGTACTCATCTCGGTCCGGTAAATATTGAATATTCGTAAACTTACTCGCTTGTCACCGATTTTTTCGATTATATTATTCTCTTTTTTTTTTTTTCTTTTCGATATTCGTTAGCCGGTGAAATCGACATTACCATCGATCTGAAGTAAATACGTAGTTAATTAACATCGAAATGAATTGTATAATAAAGTATTGGGAGATGACATAAGAATATGTTCAAAAAAGAAATAAGAGTATTTCAAAAAATAAAAGAAAGAAAAAGTGCATTTTTTTGCGATGATTACATTTTGTTAGATATTTTATTTTTTTTTCTTTTTTTTTTATTTTTTCTTGATGACTAATATTTTAGCTCCATAGGGTTAATTAATAATAAAGTAAAGGTAAAGGTAGATTTCTTGGGTGCTTGGATTTTTGTATGTTCAGAATTGGAAGAACTAGGAAGAGTTTCTAGGTACTTCGCTTTGTTCTTCACAAAGTGAACATGGATCTAATAGCGAGGACAGTTACAGATGCATTTGCTACATGGATCTTCAGAACTGGAAGAACTTGGTGAAGCAGAGCTGCTGGATGCTTCAGTTGGTTTTTCAGAACTGGAAGAACTTGGTGAAGCAGAGCTGCTGGATTCTTCACAAGGAGTAGAATCAGTACCTTGCGAAGTCGAAGTGCTGGATTCTTCATAAGGAGAAGAATCAGTATCTGGCAAACTAGAGCTGCTGGATGCTTCGGTAGGTTTTGCAGAACTGGAAGAATTTGGTGAACCAGAGCTGCTGGATGCTTCAGTTGGTTCTTCAGAACTGGAAGAACTTGGTGAAGCAGAGCTGCTGGATTCTTCACAAGGAGTAGAATCAGTACCTAGCGAGCTCGAGGTGCTGGATCCTTCATAAGGAGAAGAATCAGTACCTAGCGTGGTCGAGGTGCTGGATTCTTCATAAGGAGAAGAATCAGTATCTGGCAAGCTAGAGCTGCTGGATGCTTCGGTAGGTTTTGCAGAACTGGAAGAACTTGGTGAACCAGAGCTGCTGGATGCTTCAGTTGGTTTACCAGAACTGGAAGGACTTGGTGAGGCAGAGCTACTAGATCCTTCAGTTGGTTTACCAGAACTGGAAGGACTTGGTGAGGCAGAGCTACTAGATCCTTCAGTTGGTTTACCAGAACTGGAAGGACTTGGTGAGGCAGAGCTACTAGATTCTTCACAAGGAGTAGAATCAGTACCTTGCGAAGTCGAGGTGCTGGATTCTTCATAAGGAGAAGAATCAGTATCTGGCAAACTAGAGCTGCTGGATGCTTCGGTAGGTTTTGCAGAACTGGAAGAACTTGGTGAACCAGAGTTACTATATGTTGCGCTAGATAGTTCTGAACTGGAAGAACTTGGTGAGGCAGAGCTACTAGATCCTTCAGTTGGTTTACCAGAACTGGAAGGACTTGGTGAGGCAGAGCTACTAGATCCTTCAGTTGGTTTACCAGAACTGGAAGGACTTGGTGAGGCAGAGCTACTAGATCCTTCAGTTGGTTTACCAGAACTGGAAGGACTTGGTGAGGCAGAACTGCTAGATTCTTCACAAGGAGTAGAATCAGTACCTTGTGAAGTCGAGGTGCTGGATTCTTCATAAGGAGAAGAATCAGTATCTGGCAAACTAGAGCTGCTGGATGCTTCGGTAGGTTTTCCAGAACTGGAAGAACTTGGTGAACCAGAGTTACTATACGTTGCGCTAGATAGTTCTGAACTAGAAGAACTTGGTGAGGCAGAGCTACTAGATCCTTCAGTTGGTTTACCAGAACTGGAAGGACTTGGTGAGGCAGAACTGCTAGATTCTTCACAAGGAGTAGAATCAGTACTAGGTGATTTAGTACTGCTGGATGGTCCAGTTGGATGTATAGTACTAGGAGAACTAGATGGTTTAGTACCGCTGGATGATCCAGTTGGGTGTATAGTACTGTGAGTACTGGGTGATTTAGAACTGCTGGATGGTTTGGTCGGATGTGTACTATTAGGAGAACTAGGTGATTTCGTACTGCTGGATGATCCAGTTGGGTGTTTAGTACTCTGAGTACTGGGTGATTTAGAAGTGCTGGATGGTTTGGTCGGATGTATAGTACTAGGAGAACTAGACGGTTTAGTACCGCTGGATGATCCAGTTGGGTGTATAGTAGTTTGATGTGAGGTAGACTTTTCAGTGGTAGTGGAAGTACTTTTGCTTCCCCAAGGCAATATGGGAATAGGAATAGGTATATGAGGACGAGGGAAAGGAAGAAGAGGTAGAGAAGGAATCTTCAATCCTCCACTTATTCCTCCACTTACTCCTGCTCCCGCTTCTACACCTGAGTTGCCATTCGGTCCTTTAATTCCTGCGTTTATATTTATGCCTGCCCCTGCTCCTATTCCTGATTTTGATCCCCCATTACCTTTTGCACCTACATCTGCTCCTATCTTTATGTTCGCTCCTGCACTTCTTCCATTTCCTGCATTTACTTTTCCATTTAATTGTAGGTTTGCTCCTGCTCCCACATTAGGGAATATCTATTATATATAATAATTTGAATGTTTAGAATAAATTTTTTTTTTTTTATAGACGATCATTAAAATCCATTCAACGTTGGTAATATTATAATTATATTAACTTACCGAGTAGGCAGAGCTATAAGCCACAAGGAAGAGTAGAGAGTACGCTAATACCTTCATGATAGCTTGCTTCTTATTTTCTTTTCAAATTTTGAGCCTTTAACCGGGATATTTATACGGTGCTCCTGAATAGGCATTAATTTATTATCCTATTGACAAGCGTTAATGACGTCAGAGCATATGTTTTGACAATAACTACGATACTCGTCATGAATTGTAAATAACGATATTATTTGTAGTTTCAGAAATAATGGTTTTTTTTCCGGATGTTTATGTGTAATATCGAATAAAACTGTCGCTTATTATCTTTTCACATATATCTTAATTTTAATTATTAGTTCATTTCGAAAGTTTTTGCGTAGTATTCAATTATGACGCATTTCTAATCGTCATAGTTGATACAGACACATATCAATCATTTATGAAATTTGTTGATATTTTTAATTTATTATCTGCAACTATACACACACATACACACGCACACACACACACACACATATATATACATATATATTATTATCTTAATTAATATACTTAATTAGACGTTTCTTTTCTCATTTGCGCAGTGTGAATTTAATTTTTCATAATCTATCAAGAATTATTTATTTATTATAAAGAAGCTTTTATTTTTCTCATAAATAATTTTACTTTTTTTTTTTTTTTTTTTTTTTTATAAATAAACTGCAAAAATAGAAAAAGAATATATCGTGAAGGAAAAAGTTTCGTTGCCTTAAAGAAATCAACTTCGTTTAGTTTCATCTATCTTTCTCTCCTTTTTCTCTCTCTCTCTCTCTCTCTCTCTCTCTGTCTTTTACAACGGTAGCATCACAAATCACGAGGAACAAAGCGATCGTTTATAAAATGTTTAGCGCACGGCGTAGAGAAGATCGTGACGGTTGCGGTGTTCGGCCGACGATGATTTGCGCGACTAGATAGGGTATAGCGATATAGAAGAGAGCCCAATGGAATTTTGTTACTTTCGTAGAGCTTACCTATAGTTGCTACAAACGGACGGTACATAGAAATCGGTCGATCGTTCGACCGAGAAAGAGAGAAAAAAGAGAGAGAGAGAGAGAGAGAGAAGTAAGATAGACGCGTATCTTCTCTTCTCTTTTCTTCTAAAATCGCGAATCCTTTCCTGAGAATCCTTTCTCTCTGTTCGAAAACAATCGAGGGAAGTTTGCACGAACGTGTTATTCGCATCGTAAGAGAGAGAAAAAGAGACAGAGAGACAGAGAGAGAGAGAGAGAGAGAGAGAGATGAGAATAAGAATAAAAAAAATTTAGAGAAAGAGTGACAAAAAATTGAAAGAACTTAAAGTGAATAGAAGAAGAAAGTGAAGAAGAATTGAGAGAGATTGAGAGAGAGAGAGAGAGATTAAGATGAGAATAAATATCAAAAAAATTTAGATGTGAAAGAATGAGGAAAGATTGAAAGAAATTAAAGTGAAAAGAAAAAAAAAGTGAAAGGAGAGAAGAAAGAGAGAGAGAGAGAGAGAGAGGGAGAGAAAGAGAGTGGATGGGAAAAAATTGAGAATAAGAGAGAGAGAGAGAAAGAGAGAGAGACGAAGAAATTGAAATAAAAAAAAAAAAAAGAAAGAAAAAAATATAAAGAGAGAGACAAATTGATAGAAATTAATAAGAAAAGAGAAAGAGAGCAAAAACATTCAGAATGATGAAAAATGAGTGAAAAAATGAGATAGAGAGAGAGAGAGAGAGAGAGACAGAGATTAGCTTTTGTCATAAACACAAGTATCAGTTCAAGCACGTTCAAATACATTCGTTCAATCATAAAAAAGAAAAGCATAGAAATAACATAATTTTCTATGATTTATCATTGAATTGTAATAAGCTTCATCAAGACTAATGAAGTTTAATTTAAGATCATTTAATATCATACACATATACTACACGCTCATATACATTAATCTATACGTATAAATTGTTGTTGATAAAACTTTTATAATAAAAATACGACTTAAATATGTAAGGTCGTGACGTGATTTCTCGTTTCTTTCTACGTTTCCTTTTCTCCTACGAATACTATGTACACAAATACATACGTATACACCTATAAATATATATATATATATATATATATATATATATATATATATGTATTTATATACTACATTCGTATGTATCTGTAAAACCACTGACAACCGAACGTAAAAGACTCGACAGGTCTTTCTACACTTATGTACACGGCACGGAGATGCTTATCATGAAATTTTTCTTTTATCGGGTTAATTGTATAACCTTAAAATACTGAAACTCCAGCAGCTATACTAATTACAGTAAGGTCTTATCGATATAACTTTCATGTTTTCTATCAGCAATGCGAAACGTTTGCGTTCCTGTTTTTTTTCTTTTTTTTTTTTTTTCGTTTTATCTTTTCGAATTAAGAAAATTTTTCGTCGCCTTACAACATAAGCACAGTTGTGACTGATTTATTGAACTAATTTTTTTTCTTCTTTTTCTTTTCTTTTTTTGTCTCTTTCTTTTTCTTTTTTTTTTAACTCTTATACAAGCAATTTATTTTCATAACGAGCTAGCTCAACTTTGTAAGTAATAATGTCAAATCGATTAGATCATCTTATATCGATGTTTTTATATATGTTTTTTGTCCTTTTTTTTTTTTTTTTTTTCTTTTTTTTTTTTTTTTTTTTTTTTTATATATTCCTTTAAATCATTTATTTCTTTCTTTTCTCTTTGTTTGTTTTTCTTTTATTTTTTTTGTATTTTTTTTGTATTTTTTTTTTTTTATTCTCACAATTAATATGACATTCTGACAAAAATCTTTTGATGTATAAGTTTATTATTAAATTAGTCGTACGTATGTGTCTATATTTTAGTAATAGTGAAAATGATCTAAGTTAATAATTTGGAAAAAATAAATTTTTGAATTTGTATATATCAATTATGATTTTTATAATTAAATTTTATTGATTCATATGACGTATGTGTATGCGTACATATTCATATATAGTTTATTTAAATACACGCGTTAGTATATTGAATATAGAAACGAAAAAGGATGAAAAAGCTAAATTCGAATGGTATATAACGACGACCGTGAAAATAGTCGTCGCCGATCTATTTTTGCCTTGAATTCGAGGCATTCCAAAGGAACAACCTCAAGTGTTTAGAATATCATCTCGTGAAACATCTAAACGATTTGCTTCTTCGAGTTTTCTGCGTGATAAGTGTCAAAAAGAATCTTTAAGAGTGATAAATAAAATTATATTGGTTCTCAACGTTTACCTTTTTCATTATATTTGAAATTTTTCGAAAAAAGAAAAAAAGGAACAGAACAAAAAAGAAAAAATTATAATATAAAATATTACATGTATACATATATTAACGTCGTTCTTAACAAATTATAATTATTATTATGAAATCGATTGTAATCATTATAATAATAGTAGTAATAGTAATAATAATAGTAGTTAATTAGTAAACAAGAGAATTTAATTAATATTATTATAGGATGTAATATTAATGTCATATATATTATTATATCATTATACATGAATATTAATATTAATTAATGATATATTATATACTACTATAATCATATTAGTATTATATATTATTCACTTTAGTACTTCTAATTTTATTTTTATTTACGTTATTTAATTTTATATTTGTATATATTTTATTTTCGAGACATTATATAACTTAATTAAAAAATTAAATTAATATATTTATCACATTTATCATAAAATATCAAGTTAATGATTACAATTAATTAGAGATAATCATTAATATTAATGATAATCAAGATATCTCTAAGTTCTAAATTAATTTGGTTTATCTATTATGTAAATTATATTAAAAAAAAAAAAAAAAGAACGAATGACGTCAAAAAATTGCGAATGACGTCAATGGCGGATAATTCTATACATTTTAGGTACATACGTATGCACCTAAATGTACGTATATATATATGCACGTACAATGTACGTGTAAACTTGTATATATGGATTACGCAAGAATCCTATGTGATGCATCTTAAATGCATGAGGTTTCACGTTCTTGCATCCGGGTTTACTGCCTCCTCCCCTCATTGAATCTTCCGTGTTTTCGGAGGACACGTTGGTATCGACCTTAATACCTCTCGATCAGTTTTGAAACCGAACATTCATCGTATCCGGTTCACAATCAGATGTTCTTTCCAAGAGATCGTTAAATCGCATCGATTGCGAATACGAATGAATGTTATTTTCCGTTATCTCTCGACGTTTTTTCTTTCTCTCATTTCTTAATTAGTTAATTATTAGAAATAAAATTTGAAATGTCAGAGGAATATCTATTTTCTTTCTTTCTTTCTTTCTTTTTTTTTTTTTTTCTTTTTTCTTATCATGATCGTCTACGTCGAAAAGATTCCAATGTTTTATTTATTTATTTATTTATTTTTTTTTTTTTTTCGTACACGTATAAAAGTTTTAAATAAATTAATTGAGATAAATTTAGAACGATGGGACACGTTCAAATTAGATCGAATCTAATGATATAAATATAAATGCAACGATATAATATAAATTCGATAAATTTCGATTAAATGTTTCATTTCTTTCTTTCATTCTTTTCATTCTTTTTTTTTCTTTTTTTTCTTCTTTCTTCTTTTTTCTAAACATTTAAATAAATTAATTGATATTAATCGAGAAAAATTGGGACGAAAAATGAACGTTTATAAATAGAAATGAACATCGACAAAATTAATAATATATACTTACGTAGAAAAATTTCATGATAATAATTAATAAAATATTTCGATAAATTCAAAAATTTCTGATAAGATATGGATTCTAAACTATACGGCCTTGATAATAATCCTTATCAATCGTCATCGTGCTTTCTCCGATATTGGATATCATTTTTCACACTTATGATTATTAAATATCAGTATTGTATGACAATGAACGAATATATTTAATATGTTTAATTAATTGCATATTACGATTAAATGAAAAAAAAAAGAAAAAAAAAAGAAAGAAATGAAATTCATTTTCGAAATACACGAAATAGATTTAATTGCATATTGATTTATTAAAGAATTATAAATCAAAATATAAATGTAACTTAATTTATCAAATTATCGAATACAATTGATTTTTATAAAA